GAGTAGTATAGTAAATGGAAAGCATAACCTGGAGGTAAGGCAAAGCCTTGGGGAGCAATTATAACAAGAAACTGCAACTGAATGACTGCCTTTGGGAATCCAAAGTGATGAAGCAGAGTGAGAGGTCAGGGGGAGTTTCAGCAAAGGCAAACCTTTGCAAGTGGATTATTCATTTCCAAAGTGTTAACATGTTATTTAGAGGAGATAGAGATAGGTTTGGGGTGAAGGAGATGGAAGAAGTGGGTATGGAAGTGACTGGGATGGAGGAAAAAAGATTAGGAGGAGAAAGAACAAGTGCAGTAACAAGGAGAAGCATAATTAAGGTGAGAAGCATTGGAAATGGCAAGATGAGTTGAGGGCCTTAAAAGCCTGAGAGGCTGACTCAAGTTCCCAGGCAACCAACAGAATTGCATATATGGTGGAGAGACACGATTTTCTAAATTTTTAAATTCTGGTGGCCATGGTAAATGGATTGATGTGTGAAAAATAATTTTAAAAACTTGGTTGATTGATATTTTATGTCATTACTATTAGTGGAATGTACTGACAGGTTTGCCACATTTAGTTGGGTCTGCCAACTAAGGCTCTTGCTAGAAATGTACTGTGTCTTTGCTACTGATGTTTCCCGGTTTTCCACTCTCAGATGCTGAATTGAAACACTCATTAATATTCCATAAACTAATTTTCATCTCAGTGTTGGTGTCTGGCAGTGAAAATTTCTGCTTAATCAACACACACACACACACACACACACACACACACACACACACACATATACTCAAGAGCTAAGTGACAGGTACAATTTTATGTCCTTTCTTGGAAATGATGTCGCTTCTAGATGGTTCTAAATATCCATTTTGATCAAGTATTGAAGTAAAACAAAACTCAATGTCCATTATCTGTTACAAAACCTGTCCCAGAAGCAGTGCACAGGTTATACATTTACTGAAGAACCGATTTGGGAAATTCTGATTAAGTTATAAAACATTACATCTTTGGCACATATTATATTTATACTGGCATGGAATTTTATTCTCTACAGAAATAAGCCCCCCCCTTCAAGAAAGCAAGATAACACAAAAAAGAATAAAGGTTTATATTTTTAACTAAATGCCAGAACATTTAAAAGAAGAGAAAGCAGTCTTCATAGCATTTATTTTGTAATGAAAATGTTCCAAAACCTAAGTCTATACCTGTACAGTTCACTGTGTTAGGCTCAAAAGCTAGACTGATAAAGCATAAAGATAGTACAAAGAGAATCATTAAGTACTCATTTCCTAATTCATTTTTTATGTAACTTTGTTGTATTTTCTGTTCTTACCATGATAAACAAATGCCTGTGCAAGTGTGAATGATAATAGCTACTTCTCAGAAGGCACATTGTTTTTAGTATATGATGTCGACATGCACATTGTATGATAAATTTCACTTTCTTCAGTTGAGTTTTTTGCACAGACTCTTTTTAAATTTCCCTTGGGAAAATATTAACAACCAGACTCTTATAACTCAATTATGTGCTGGGGATTGCTTTAACTCTATAGAGCACAAAGGACACCTTCAGCCGTCAGAGCCCCGACATGTGTGGTTGCCTTCCTCGAGTAGTCTAGATCATTACTGAAGGGCACTGAGCCAATGCAAACTCATAGGTCTAAACGCTGCTGAAGTACTACATCTCAACACTTACTGGCTACCGTGGAGCACCTTTTAGCACTGGAGTGATTTATGTAAATTGAAATGGTGGATACCTACATAAACACAAACTGTATTTAATGTGTATATGACTTCCTTATGAATTACATGTTTTAGAGAGGTACAAAGAAATATGTTATGTGAAAAACCTCTAATTGAATGAAGTATTCAAATAATCATTTATTATAAGAATGTCATAAAAGAATTGGATATTTCATAAACATTTACTTTATTAAATATTAGCAAATTGTGAGCATGGAATATTGCCAAAGAAAGTTAAGCTTAAAATAGTCACAAAAGGAAGTTGGGCTATCTCAACTTATTTTAAGCAATGATCTAATACACTTAGTTCAGATAAATGAAGCTTTCTTCCAATCCCTGAAGGCAAAGAGGAGAAAAAGAACAGATTCCCTTAAAAACATGAATTGCTTTTTGTTATTATACTAAACCAAGACATATTTGGGAAAATGCATTGCAAGCCAGATTGTATAAAAGCAAAATTGCAAAACAAATGTTTTCTTTATCTTCATTTGTAGAAAGTATTATCTTCTGCTATGATATTTACTGATAACTGAGATATTACACAATATCATCTGTCTCTCCCAGGGGTTTGAATACTTTTAAGATAAATTTCTGAATAAAAATATAACCTTAAGAATAAATAGAATGGAACCACAGTATTAAAGTAGAGGGAACACCTTAAATTCTAGCACATATTCTGCTGTTTATTACATGTCACCATAAATAATAAATACATAGGATAAAGGATAAGTGTAAATTTAAAATACTGCCTTCTAAGTTAATGGATTAAGAGAATTTGGGAAAAACTCCTAGAAATATTTTAGCTCTCCAGTTTTCTTCTAGAAACACAGCTTCCACGAATGCATGTATACACATTTGCTTTCAATGACACTTAGCAAGATTCAACATTCAAAACAAAAACAAAAGCAAAAACAGAAACAACTGATTTTTCCTTATGGTTCCATAAGGAAAAATGTATAGAACTACTGAAAAGATAAATGATAAAAAGCAAATGTCTTCCATCCAATGACTAGCCATCTAGATAAATTATACAGGGTGTGCCTGTTTTACTGATGCATTTAAGAAAATCCATTCTCCCTCTCCCTCTCTCCCTCTCCCTCTCTCCCTCTCCCCCTCCCTCTCCCCCTCCCCTTTCGCTTGACGATCAGGGTATAGCTGAGAGCTACTTCTCCAGCACCATGCCTGCCACCGCTCTCTCTCACACACACACACACACACACACACACACAGACACACACACGGATTTTGTTTGCTTGATTTGTGTAAGAAGAAGTAGCAGTCAGGTCTGGGGAGACAGTTCAGACAGTAGAGTGCTTGGCATCTGATCCAGCAGCCAAATAAAAGAGCTGGTTTGGAGGTGTGCATCCTTAATTCTAGCATGGAAGAGGTGGACACAGAAGGATCCCTGAGGCTAGCCAGCTTACTACACTTGGGAAATCCGCAAGTTCCTGGTACATTGAGGAACTTTGTCTCAAAAAGATGAATAATGTAAGAGATTCTACATTGAGTTAAAAACTTTATACACATCTTTGCACATGTGCACAAACATGAACATGTGTGCATGCATACACTCCCACAAACATTAATCAATGTAAAAATTAATTTTTAATACAAAGAGTATGGCTTATCTTATACTATCATATTCTAGATATGTCATGATCTTTTCTACATATTTTATCTATTATCTTATTTTTGGCATGTGTGCACAGACCTTCCTTTCTTCTTCTTCTTTTTTTTTTTTTTTTTTTTTTTTTTTTTTTTTTGGTTTGTTTTATTTTGCTTTTCAAGACAGAGTTTCCCCTATGAGCTCTGGCTGTCCTGGAACTCACTCTGAAGACCAGGCTGGCCAGATATCCATCTGCCTCTTCTTCCCTGAGTGCTGAGATTAAAGGCATGCACTACTATCTAAAGGCTAATTCTTAGTTTTTAATGTTCACAATGAGCTAGGGCACACTTGACTGTAATAGCCTCAGACCTGTGTTATCAAAACTTGGGGGTAGAGGGTGGATACTTGAGATCAATTATTGGCATTGATGTAGACCCCAGATAGATTCTATCCCCCAGGCATATAATTCACATAGGGGTCTTTGGGTCAGGCTTAGAATACCATTCTTTGAGCTTTGCCCCCAGTAAGTGGTCTTTACATTCTGTACAGTCCTGGTTCACATTAAAGTGGACCCAAAAATCAACCAAAGAAACAACCCTGCATGAGCTTTAATGCTCCTACTGCAGGATAGGTCACTGTCTCTGCTCAACCATCTGTGGATTGGCAGTGGATGATAGAGAAAGCTTCTGTGTTGACATAGTTCTATGTTTTGGTCATTTGGGTTAGGAAAGACATAGAGTTTAGAATGTTCTGACCATCTCCAAATTTTACTGGCTCTGGTCAAGAGAGACAGAGTTTAGAACATTCAGCACATCTCTGAATTTCAATGGTTCTGGTCAAGTGTGTAGCTTGGACTTAGTATCCTTTCCCTGATTCAAGTGAGAGACATCTTTCCCACACAGTTAGCTGGGTTGAGGAGGTAATATGAGCAAGTGCTTCCTTTTAAACCTTCTTCAATATGTCTTTTCTTTTTATCATATTAAAACCAAGCTTCATGGTCACTAATCAGGGTCTTTAGCTCTAATGAAACTTTCTGGTTATGTGAACTGTTCAGACTGATGTCTGTGGGGTTATTATTGCTGGAGGGTTTTATTCAGGCCTCACCTTTGTCTTTCTCTATATTTAAGTGGTATGGCTTCTTAAACAGTCCATAATTGGAGCATCATGAGTCTTTATTAGCTCAGAATCGTTAGGTTTTGATAGAAATTTGTTAAAATGTGAAATAAAAGTGTGGAGAAACAATGTTAAAATGTTACCACAGATTTGGATCAAGGGAATACTTATTAATGAAAAATAAAACACATTTTGATTTTATTGCTACATGTTTAGCAAAGAATACATGTTTACTCTTGATTAATTCAATTGCCATTTCTTCATTACAAATACTTGCATTTCTAATAGGGAAGTAGATGTTTATAATTCTTTGCTGCTTTTATCTATGTTTTCAATGGCTTCAATATTATATCCATTTACTCAAAAATATATGTATATAGTGAAATCTACAAACACATAAAATATTTGTCAGAGGAAATATGTTTTTAAATGCCTTCTATTATTTTTGACATAGAAGACCTCCTGAGTGACACTGTGGCTTAACAGAAAGCAGACTTAAGGCACAGAGGAAATTCAGTGAATCCACCAAGATGTATATAAATAAACTGACCTTCTTAAAGTTTTTGTTTAAGTCGACCAGACTGAGCAGGAAGACATGGTCCTTGGCTCCTAGGAGCAGCCTGCCCCTCTCCTCATCTAAAAGAAGAGTCTGGAAATCCAGTCCTTCCGATGAACCCAAAAATGGAATGCAGCTGTTTGAAAGCAGCAAGTCTATGGAAAAGTCAAAAGAGGGAAAGTAAGGGAAAATTCATGGCATGAAATATATTTACCTGCCCAAATACACATATTGATCCACTTTGTGAACATACTTATGCAGCATTGACACATTGGAACAAGTTTAATATATACTCCTTCAGAAATAGATACTTTGGCCTAAATACATTGGCTTTATTCTGTGTAAAAAAATACATTTTGTTTTTTTTTTTTTTGGTTTTTCGAGACAGGGTTTCTCTGTGTAGATTTGGAGCCTATCCTGGCATTCACTCTGGAGACCAGGCTAGCCTTGAACTCACAGAGATCAACTTGCCTCTGCCTCCTGAATGCTGGGATTAAAGGCGTGAGCCACCAATGCCTGGGGTAAAAAATACATTTTAAAATTAATATAAAACTTGAAATATAAAATACAAATATTGCAAAAGCAGTTCTTAAATTACAATTTAAAGTATTTCCCTGTAGTAATATTTGAAAAAAATGATAAACTCCATTATATCAACAAAGTATAATCTATGTCATAAATGCCATGGGATTTCTTCTTTTGTGCTTCATAAAAATTTTACTTAATATGAAAATTAATGGGGCTATTATTAAATTTTCATTCATATTTCAAATTGCACATTGCTTATATTCACCTATTACATACCATGGCTCTCTTCCCAACCTTCTAGTCCTTTCACTCTCCCTAAATATTCCTCCAACATTCTTGTTAAAGACATGTTATATCTGTTTTTGTGAGTAACTTTTCATTGTCTTCCTATATTGTAATTCATCCATTAACCCACAGGACTAATTTGTTGCTTCCAAGTTCTGGCAGCCACCAATAAAATATATGCATGCAAAGATTTTGTGCACACAAATTATTTGTTTCTTTTGAGTGAAGCACAAGAAACAATTGTTGGGTTACATATTTAGTTTTGCTAGAAAATGTCCAAAGTGCTTTCCAAGATGCCTAAATTAGTTTGTGTTTTTAATTAGTGATAAATGCATTTTCATGTGTTCTTCTAAATAGAATCAATGTTGTCAACATTGTAGATGTGATCATCTTAAAAGGTATGTATTATTATGTTTTCTTACCTTGAATTTGTCTGAAGATACTGGTATGGTGTATGAGTTCATATGCTTATTTGCTATTTTTATGTTCTTACTGGTGAGGTGGATATTTATGCCTTTTATTATATTCTTTCAAAAATTATGTTGTTTCTAACACTTGAATTTTAGTAGAATTTATTTTTTTGCAGTTTGGATATTTGTCCCTCATGAGACAGGTATTTTCAGATGTTTACTTTCTTGTCTATAACTTCTATATATCTTTTTTCTATGTTTCAGGTCTGAAAGAAAATCTCTTGTAAATACAATTTTATTTGAAGAGATAGAAAAATGACCTTGTGTTAAGTACACCTGTTATCCTTGTATAAGGATGTAGGTTGGGTTCTTACTACCCATAAGGTGGTTCACAACATTCTGTAACTACAGTTCCAAGAGATCAGGGTCTCCCTTCTGGCCTCTGCAGGCACCAGGCACACCATGGTACCCAGATATACATGCAGGCAACACTCATGCATATAAAACATGTTTTAAAAATGTAACAAATTAAAGATTTAGTTTTTACTTTTTAAGTGTGTGTGTGTGTGTGTGTGTGTGTGTGTGTGTGTGTGTGTGTGTGTGTGATTGAGGGTGGTGGGAATGGAGGTGTATGTTCATGTGAGTGCAGTTCCTCCAGAGGCCAGAGGTATCAGATCTCCCTGGAATTCTTATTACAGGCAGTTAGGAACTATGGCAGCTGGGAAGTAAAGTCACATCCTCTCAGAACAGTATGCATTCTAAACCAATGAGCTAGTTCTCCCTCACCATTTCCTCCTATTTGTGATAGCATTCATGCTGGTGCATTATTTGAATGGTTGTACTCTCACTACATTTTTAATTTCTTAGTTTTTGAAATTATAGTATAATTATATGCCCTTTCCCTTCCCTTTCTCTTCTCTAAACTCTCTCATATAGGCCTCCTTTTTCTTTTTCAGGTTTATAGCCTCTTATTTTCATTAACTGTTGCATGCATGTATGTACTTACAAATGTATATACATATACATTTCTAAATATATAAATACAACCTGCTCAGTCTTTATCTGGATAATGTTATTTGTATGTATGTCTTCACAGCTGACCATTTAGTATTGGATGACAAAATGATGTGCTCCTCCCTGGGGAAGATATTGTTCTGCTCTCAGCATTACTTAGCTGTCTGTAGTTCTTTGTGTAGATTGAGGCTTCCTGGTCTTTTCTCATCCACTGTAGCATGTTTGTCGTTTTCCTCATTCAGCTCATGTTTAAACACTCATGTTAGTGAGTCTTGCTGAGTATTTTTTTTGCAACAGGAAATAATGATTAAAAAATATAACCAATCAAAAGGAAGAGTTATGAAATCCAGTGTCAGTGGAAACACCTACAAAACATCTCCCACACCTATTGCTCAAGGACCATTATGGAGATTCTAAGAGCCAAAGTTCAGAGAGTTTGCTGTGATACCTTGTCTCCCAGCCATGCACAATTCCTTGCTAATTCAGATGTACATTCCATGTTCAGATGCATATTTCAAAAGAAGTTGTAAAAAAAAGTTCCATTAATCCTGAAAGAAATATGGTCGGAAACTGCATGGGACCTTCAAATGACTATATAATATAACTTCACAAATGAAAGCACTCATCTTAATCAAATGCAAGTGTATATCCTATGGTTATGTTCTTTGGTGCCAAACCTGATAATTATATTGGATTTCCTTGTTTCATTCTCTTTGATATCTGTTTGCAGGGCCAGTACTTTTGGTTTGCAACAATCATAACAGACACTTCTAATTAAACTAGATCTTCGTACCACATTTCTTTTAACCAAAGTACCTACAATTGTATCTTATATTTCTATAATCCCAGAGAACTGATCATCAACAAGGTAGTAATAACAAATTTATCACTTTATTAAGGTTGATTATGTGAAAATTTAAAAACAGCTTATAAATTTGAATTAACTATTAATTACTATTCATTTCTACATTGAATAATTGTTATTTTTCTCAATTTCTAAGATAGAATTGAAATTTTTAATTTAGAATGTGAAAAACTTGGAAAGGTGTAACACAATCAGAAATTTCAATTGCCTGTGGTTAGCAAACAAAACTCTTTCATTAATATTTATACAGGATATTTTATGCACACTACATGGACACTGATGTCTATGTTCATTTTTATTGAGGTAAATACTATTTTTCAGCTAGGTACAATATTGCAATATAATTTTACAACTCAAAAAGACCAAGGCCTAGGTTTTTGGCTCATTTCCAATGAGCATTCCATACTGGTTGTAAGTAGAACTAAGAAGAAACAATGGCATCAAGGGATTGGCTAGAACAGACTTGATTAAAGCCTTTTAAAAGAAGACATTTTGCACAAACCTTCACTCAATTAGGCAAGCATTTATGTTCCTTGGGATTTCCCTTAGTTAAAGCAAAAATGTGAAAAATCAAAAGTATTTGAATAGACTCCCAAGAGTGTATTCTTACTGAACTAGTAAAGCATTTTGTGTGGTACAAACCCTTATGACTTCAACTTTCCAAAACTACTTGTTATTCTGATTGCAATGAAAATTACAAAATTCAAGATTACCTAGCTTATCTGTGTGGTTGACAAATCATTGGCAGCATGATTTAGTGATCTAGAACAAGTCCTTTGACCTCCATGACTCAGCTTCCTAATACACAAAATGAAGATAATAGAAGCTATATGGCAACTCAAGATGGACATTAGAATAACAAGTTGCACACACTACATGCTATGTGTTGAGCAAATACTACAGGGAGGATGATGTGTTCTCTTTAAACTTTATGCAAAATCTATGCAAAGAAATCTTAGCATTTCCATATTTATACAACTTTGTCAACAAGTAGAAGAGGTAATTAATAGTATTTCTTAAACTTATGACTTGTAAATGAGAAAAGTTTAGTAAATATTGTTGTTCTGAATATTAGCATTGACCTTCACTTTGGGCCAAACAGTTTTTTTTTTTTGTTGTTGTTGTTGTTGTTGTTAAAGAAACACGTTATCATATTTTTTTATAAACCAGAAATATGAAGGTTAAAACATATATGTTAATTAATGGTATTCAGATAAGATTAAAATAATATTTATTACACAAAAATTACATAGCCTATGGGAGGCACTGTTCATATTATTGTATTAGAGAATCCTGCAAGGAAAACTATTGGATCAGTGTGTGTGTGTGTGTGTGTGTGTGTGTGTGTGTGTGTGTGAAAAATATGTGTTTAAATTAAAAATAAAATACAACACACATGAATTATGTCCTCGGAGAGGTCAAATGTTCCTCCTGAGTCATCACAAGCTTAGCATCTCTCCATTACCTACCCAACATCATCATGGCTTCAAAATCACTTAAAGTAGTGAATACCTGATGAATCATCAGGTCAGAACAGACTAAAGCTATATTTCACCCCAATACCTATACTACTCTCATGACTTCATCATGCCAGGTCAACATTCTAAATTCTTATGATACCTCACAAGATAGCCAAATACCATTCAACAAGGTAATCTGGTAGAGACTACACCCACAGCTAAACACTGAGCTGAACTCTGGAATCCATTTGCAGAGAGGGAGGAGTGGTGAACAAAGGGGTCAAGACCAGGCTAGAGAAACCCACAGAAACAGCTGACCTGAGCAAGGGGAGCTCATGGACCCCAGACTGATAGCTGAGAAACCAGCATAGGACTGTCCCAGATCCCCTAGAGGTGGATGTCAGTTTGCAGGTCGGGTTAAACTATGGGGCCTCTAGTAGTGGATCAGTATTTATCCCTAGTACATGAATGAACTTTGGGAGCTCACTCCACATAGAGGGATACTCTTGCAGCCTAGACACAAGGGGGAGGGTCTAGGCCCTGCTCCAAATGATATGATAGATTTTGAAAGATCCCCATGGAAGGTCTCACCC